GAGGCATTTAGAGAAAATTCTTATGATAAGGAATTCCCTCCTCTTCAATTGCCCAAACCTCAACAACCAAAAGGCTCTATCAAGAAGGAAAGTTTTTTTAGAACACCAAGTAGGGTAGTGCTTGCCCCAGTGCAACAAGTTCAAGTTAATGACCCATCAAGGGAGACGTCAAAGCAATATTATACAAGCCCCTCTGTTGTTCGCCTAGGAAGGCCTAAAGTGAGGGATCACCAAAATGATGCTTCTCGTTCTTGGCACTATCAATTCTATTCGTGTAAACCAATGAGCTATGAATCTAAATATGATTCAACCTTATCTTCTCGGAGCAAAATGTTGGAGTCAAATGAAGATTACTTGGAATTAAGACAATCTCCTCGATATCATTCTGCTGAACCAACTGATTATAAGACTGGAGGACGATACTTCTTCAGACATCATATGCAACGTGTTATACCTCAAAGAAATGAAAGGGAAGATACTCCTATTTATAAATATTATGAAAGCACCTACCATCAATGTCAGTATTATCAACAACCAACCCATTATTACGAACCAGCATTAACCCCAGGAGGCAGGAGGGCGTCATGTAGTAACACGACGATTGACGGCTAGGGAGTATCGACTGCGTTTATAAGATAGGGTAGGTCATGATCTTTCCTCTGAAGATGGAAGGCGAGTTCGTTGGTTACATGAGCACTTATGTGAAATCAACACGGTGCCTGATTTGAAAAATCCTCACCCTAGTCATGTCATGAATGTCATGCCTGTTAGTGTGACTGATGATGAAGATATGTATTTTAAAAGGAGGTGTACTATTATACCGAAACATCAACCTATGACGACAAGTCAGTCTAGGTCACAATCTGTATCTCTTGAAGTTGAAAATAATGACAATGAATCATCTGCTTCTTCTTATTCTTGTTCTCAATCTAATGATACCATTGGTAGTGTAGAAAAAGAATATGAACCTAATTTATTAGGCACAGAACAATTTTTGACAACTGATGAAATGTCCCTTGATGATAAATTGATACAACTTCAAAGAGAGCTCCAACATAAAGAAGAAGAAATTGCTCAACTTAGAGCACAAACCTTTGCGAATCCTTCCACTTCAACAAATAACGATTCAGATGTTCAACATCACCCAACTGTAGTTTCACTTGATACAGTACAAAGGCTCATCACCGAAGGGGTCAGGGCACAGTTAATGCAAAATCAGTATGCAATGAGACCGGTCTATACAAAGCCTTATCCTGCTGAGATTGACATGATTCCCTTCCCTGCAAATTATCGGCAACCTCAATTCACCAAATTCAATGGAAATGGTTCACCACATGAGCACATCGCTCACTTTCTAGTAGCATGTCAAGATACCGCTCATAATGGGGCTCTCCTGTTAAGACAGTTTGTTCAAACACTTTTAGGTCCTGCATTCACTAGGTATAGTAAACTTCTGCTTGTATCAATAAGAAATTGGGAGCATATGCAAGAAGCCTTCTTACAACGCTTCTATAATACTCAAAGGACTATGGGCATCACTGAATTAACTTAGACAGAACAAGCCCATAATGAGAGGGCATCTGATTTTATTAACAGATGGAGAGATTTGAGTCTCCATTGTCCTCAGCCAATCACAGAACCAGAGACTGTAAGGATGTGCATGAACAATCTTCAACCAGAAATGGTAGTTCATCTTCAAGGTGTGTGGCCTATGACTTTTGAAGAGTTGCCATCTAAGTCAACTGATATAGAAATTTATCTCAATTAGTTAAATCGTCGCTCAGACAAAGGGCACCATAAATTTTTTGAACATGGGCTAGACAAAGGAAAGAGAGATTGCACCCGTGATAAGAATAAGCATTTGATGAAGACATCTGTGACAACACAATATACAAAAGTTTGACCAAATGAGGCCAATGTCCAGTCGAAGAATTTAAAGTTTAATAGTGTTGGGAAGCCAAAAAGTTTGAAAGATAGACTTAAAAGGGAGTATTCCTTTCCCAAAGAAGTGGTTGTGGATTTCTTTAAGGGATTAACCGAGATGAAGCTGGTACAATTGCCTGAACCTCGCCAAGTAAATGAAAATAATAAGAGGCACGATTATGGACGATATTGTAAGTATCATCGTATGCCAGGACACACTTTAGAAGAATATTTTGTTTTTAAAGATAAAGCTCAAGAAATGATTGATGATGGAACCATTGATCCTGCATTGCTTAAAAATTTTAAGAAAGGAGGACAATCCGCCAATATAGTGTCTATTAGTCAAGTAGATGAAAAGGCTTTGCCTAGGTGCATAGACACTTTAACATTATCGTTATATGCAGTGCCTTATGTACCACCATTATATCGCCCTATGGAAGATTCATCATTACTAATGACTCCCTCAAAGGTGCCACGTCATGTAATCCATATGATAGAGTTGTGGTCACCTTCAACTCCACCGACTATAATGGAGAGGAAAAGTAGGACTCCAACACCATTTCCTATCCTCACATGCTCAGTAAAACAATCTCCACCATCCCACATAAAGAAGCGTCTGTTTGTTGAGGATACAGAATTTAGTATGGCAATGCCGGTTTTAATACCAACGCAAGACTCGGCCTTACCAGAAATCCTGTTGCCTACAATAGATGATGATGATTCAATGTCAGAACCTGAGCAACTCTATACTAATCAAGCCAGGCCTTATGTCAGCAAGAAACAAAAAAGGAGATAGGCTTTTAAAGAAAGGGTTAAAGCTGCGAGGAACAACCCTATACCAACGGGGACAACTCGACCTCCGCTTTCCAAAAAGAAAAGAACTCCTAAATACAAAATACTTCGTAAAGTGATGCCAAAGGAGGAAATTGAGGGATTCATTGCAAGGATTTCTCGTGAACTTTACATTAATAAGCCTCAAGTGGTGGATAATAATAACCCTTGGGCAAATGATTTACATTGCAATATTGTTGAAGTTGTGGAAGGAGATGATGGACCATTGTGCTTCCTAGAAGAAACTCCTAAGGTTAATATTACCACTCGTTCTGGATTTCATACAAAAGAGATCCATCCTCCTCCTGTTGAGTACATAATGCCTCGCAACAAAAAATCTCAACCTCCTGATAATGTAACTCCAAATGTGGCAGGTCCTTCTGAGACTGTCAAATACAATGTACTTGCACATCTAAAGAAAATACCATCAATTCTTAGTGTGTATAATGCTTTGTGTTTGTCTTCTGATTTGCGAAAGACATTTGTTACCGAAATGCAATTTCCTGATGACTATAGGGTACAAGTAGCTAATGTGGATATAAATCCACTCGAAGTCTTAAATATTGAATTCACTGATGAAGACCTTCTGTTGGGCTCAATGCTTCATAATCGACCTTGCATACATTCGACGTTTGTCGTTCATAAAGATGGAATTGAGATTGATCCAGCAAAGACAAAGGCTATCATTGAGATGCCACAACCACGAAACCTACATGAGCTGAAAAGTCTTCAAGGGCGACTTACATACATTTGACGTTTCATTACTAATTTAGCCGGTAGGTGCCAACCATTTACAAGACTAATGAAAAAAGACGTTTCTTTTGAATGGAATAATGCATGTCAAAATGCTTTTGAAAGTATAAAAAAATATTTGATGTGCCCACCTGTGCTAGGAGTCCCCATTAAAGGGCGACCTCTAATATTATATACGGTTGCATTACCCATGTCTTTGGGGATATTATTGGCCCAAGTTAATGATGAGGGAAAGGAAATTGCTTTGTATTATCTGAGCCGTATGCTGGGGGCAGAACAGAACTATCCGGGTACAGAAAAATATGTTTGGCCTTAGTTTTTGCAGCCCAGAAACTTAGACATTATATGTTAGAGCATACTATTCACTTGGTATCTCGGGCAGATCCTCTCAAATATATTCTTGGAAAATTAGTTTTATCATGTCGCTTAGCAAAATGGGCAATGTTTTTGACTCAATTTGATATTGTCTATGTACCACAAAAAGCTGTTAAAGGGCAGGCTTTAGTAGATTTTCTAGCCACTCAAGCTTCGCCAGGACAAAAAGAGATTGAAGATGATCTTTCCGATGATGAAGTTATGACTACCTTCATAGCCCCTTCATAGGTCATGTATTTTGATGGAGCAAGTCAAGGAACGGGGGCAGGAGCTGGAGTTGTATTTGTTACTCCTAAAGGAGAATCTCTACCATACTCTTTTATATTGACTTCAGCATCATCTAATAATGAAGCTGAGTATGAGGCTCTTGTCATTGGTCTCGAATTAGCATTAGACTTACATCTTGATCCATTGGTAGTCTATGGTGATTCACAACTTGTTATACATCAACTGAATGGAAAATATGCTGTCAAAAAGAAGGAATTGATCCTATATTTTCTAAAGGCCCAGGAGTTGATCCATCAATTTCAAGAAATTCAAATTGAACATGTTCCCCGATCTTATAATCATAGAGTGGATGCTCTAGCAAGCCTTGCGGCTTCATTGGCTATTTATCCGAACACTACACTCCAAATAAATGTTGAAACAAGGCGGGTACTATCATCGATACTTTAAGAGTCACCACAAGAGACATTAACATCCTCGGCTATTTCGGCTTACATTAACGAGGAAACAGATTGGCAAAGACCCTTACTGGATTATCTCAACCATGGAATTCTTCCTGTAGATAATCACCAGAGACAACAAATAAAGAAGCGTGCTATACATTATACTTGCATTGAGGGGATCCTCTTTAGGCGATCTATGCTTCTTTGATGTTTACTTGAAAATGAAGCTATGAATGCTTTGAAAGAAATACATGCTGGGGTATGTGGAGCTCATCAATCGGGACAAAGGCTTTACCATCAACTCAAACATCTAGGATATTACTGGCCTACAATGGATCGAGATGCAATGCAATTTGCTAAGAGATGTCATGTTTGTCAAATTCATACAGATTTTATACATCAACCCCCAGAACCACTCCGTACAACTAATGTATCTTGGCCTTTTGATGCATGGGGATGGACATCGTAGGCCCTATTCATCCTCCATCATCCAAAGGACATAGCTATATCTTGGCTGCAACTGACTATTTTTCTAAGTGGGCAGAAGCTATCCCTCTAAAAGAGACACGAGGTGTAAATGTGGTCAATTTTGTTCGTACTCATTTAATATATCGATTTGGCATACCATCTAGAATTATATCTGACAATGGAACTCCATTCAAAAATCAGGATATGCAGAGACTTTGTGCAAAATTTCATATTAAACATTACTTTTCATCAGCCTATAATGCCATATTAAATATTATTTTTCATCAACCTATAATGCAGCTGCCAATGGTCAAGCCGAGGCATTCAATAAGACATTATGCAAATTACTGCTGAAAGTGGTCTCCCATAATAAACGAGAATGGCATGAGCGGCTTATGGAGAGTTTATGGGCATATCGTACTACTATTCGAACACCTACAAGCTCAACATCTTATGCATTGGTCTTCGGAGGTGAGGCCGTACTTCCACTTGAAGTACAGATCTCATCTTATAGAGTTGCAATCCATGAAGGACTTTCAGAGGATGAAGCACTAAAGGCTCGACTAGAAGAATTGGATGGTTTAGAGGATAAGCGCTTAAGAGCAAAACAAATTTCGAAGATATATCAGGCTTGTATTTCACGAGCTTTTGATAAAAAAAGTTCATCATAGATCCTTCAAGGTTAGCGATTTAGTATTGGTTGTTGTTCGTCCTATGATTATCACAAGGCGAATAAAAAGTAAATTTGAGCCAAAATGGGAAGGCCCTTTCATAGTACAAGAGGTTTATTCTAACGGGGCCTATAACGTAATTTCACCTGATGGATAGTACTCTCCTCCCCTAATAAATGCAAAATTTCTAAAACGATATTATGCCTAAAGAGGCATAACACTCCAAACTTTTACGAGTATAAAATTTTAAGACACTCTAAACTTTTACGAGTATAAACTATAAGACACTCTAACTTTTAAGAGTATAAATTGAAAGAAACTCTAAGCTCTAAGAGTATAAACAATGAGTAAAGCTATCAGGTAGGCATGGTCTACACAAGGATAAAAAAACTATTCTCTTTCTACATTAATATGGCTCTCCTTTGGTATTTCAGTGATAACTTTTTACAGAAAACTTCAATTCAAGTAAAGTAATGTTTATACAAAACTAGACTCAAAATATGATCTATCATTGCAGACGAGAGGTCATTTGGAGCCTTCTGGACAAAGTTATGACCAAAACAAATACAAACTTATGTGCAGTCTAGGGCAGGCCGAAAATACAGATTGAAATCAATGCTCTTGCATCATCTCGATTTAGAAGGAAAAAAAAAGTCTTCAACAGCCTCCAAACTCTAAGAGGATAAACTATGAGAAAGTTTGATGTCATACAAGCTTGTCCATCAAAGTTCATTGAAAAAAAATTCTCTTATGTATTCAATGATGACTTCATCTTTCTTGGGAGATGGTTGTAATAATTGTAAGTATGAAATATTTAAATATATATTTGCTATGAAATAAAATGTCTAATCTCCAATATAATAAATGAAGTTTATTTTAAAAAATTTATCTCTTAAAAGACATTACATAGGCTAGAAGAGTTTTAAAGTCGGTTGAACATGCTTCGTACTCAGCCTTAAGATGTTGTATATTAGGAGAACTTTGTTGTGCCCGATGAAGCGATTACATGAAATTTTCTTGTTTGTCCAAAGCCTTCTTCAAACGTACTTCTTCAAACGTACTTCCACTATGTCAATTACTTTTAATTCAGTTTTAGCCAACTCAATCTTCTTTTCTAGATTTTGAACCTTTTTTCTCCACTTTACAATCTTTTGATTCAGATCATCCTTACATGATTGATTATGATTAAGAGCAACTTTATAAGCAATCAATGACTGCTCTACATAAGAGATAGGATTTTCTAATGATTTTAAAATTTCTAGAGAAGATGCCCCGTCAATATGTTCATGTTGGGAATTTAACGCCTAAACTCCTAATGCAACAGAAACGCAGTATAGAAAAAAGTACACCAAGATTTAACGAGGTTCGGCAACTGCCTACGTCCTCGGGAGCCACACAGTAAATTTCTTATTAATCCAACAAGAAATTATAATTTTAGGAGCAGATCCCTAAACTGGGATTTCTCAAATAAACACTGTAGCTACAGTGTTAATAATAACAGGGTATGAACCCTTTCAATACCCACTTGAGAATAAATACCCCACAATCAAACTCCTCTTTAATTCTCTCTCTCTCTCTTAAATCCCCTCAAACACTGTTCAAAGCTGGGATTAATCAGAAAATCGCTGCTGCGATTTGGGGAAAACGCTGCTGCGTTTTAGGGCAGTTCGCCGCCGCCGCTAGAGAGAACCGGAGCTCGCCTGCGACCATCGAACTCGTCGGAGCTCGTCGGAGCTCCTCTTCGCCGGCGGAGGTTTGTTTCCACCCCTAATTCTAACAATCTCCCACTTGGAGACCAAACCGACGCCAACAGACTATCTCATCAAGCTCCTCTCCTGTGTGGCTCCACCCTCATCATCTATGCATGAGGGCCAACTGAAGTTGCACACAACTTCAGTTTCTGAAAGGTCGCTGCCTTTGTCAACATATCCGCTGGATCCTTTCTTCCTTGGATATTCTGTTGAAATCCTTTGACAACTCGTCGGGCTCTGTATCTTCTGGAACCACCCTGTTCCTTCTTCACTCGATACACCCACTTGTTGTGACGTGCCTTTTTCCCCATGGGCAACTCAGCTAGTCCCCATGTCTGGTTGGAGATCAGAGATTTCTTCTCTTCTTTCGCAGCAAACTCCCACTTGCTCGCATCTCCACTCTGACAAGCTTCATCAAAGCTTTCAGACTCTCCTCCATTTGTCAGCAACATATAATTCATGTATCTGCTGTTAGGCACAGGAGGACGAGTACTTCTCCTCAATATCGGAGCTGGTGCGTCGGGCTCCTGCGCACCGTTCTGTCCAACAGGCTCTTCTGGCTGAGGACCTTCTGCATTGGGTTCTTCCGAGAGGTTATCTGGGACATCATCTGTATCTACAAATGTTGACTCGCTCTCTGAGTCACCGTCATCTGTCTTGTGCATGTCCTTGTACATCACCTTCTCGTTGAATGTCACATCTCTGCACCTGATCACCTTCTTGTTTTCGTTGTCCCAAATGCGGTAGCCGAACTCGTCTTCACCATACCCGATGAACGTGCATTTCTTAGACTTGGGATCAGGCTCATTCCTGCCTTGATCACTTATATGCACATAAGCTACACAACCGAAAACTTTGAGATGTGAGAGGGTTACCTCCTTTCTGCACCATACCTCTTCTGGTATTCTGTGCTCCAATGGAACCGATGGGCCTCGGTTGATCAAGTAAGCTGATGTGTTGACTGCTTCTGCCCAGAACTACTTCGGAAGGCCTGACTGCGTCCGAATGCTTCTGGCTCTCTCTGTCAACGTTCTATTCATGCGCTCAGCCACACCATTGTGCTGAGGCGTGCCGGGCACGGTCCTCTCCATTCTGATACCGTGCTCATAGCAGAACTTCTTGAATCTGGTGTCTTCATACTCACCACCATTGTCTGTTCTGAGTTTCTTTACCCTCAAACCGGTCTCATTCTCGACCATGGCTTTCCATCTTCTGAAAGCCTCAAACACTTCTGACTTTTTCTTCAGAAAGTAGACCCATACTTTCCGAGAGTGATCATCAATAAAAGTCACGAAGTAGTGTTTCCCACCAATCGACGCGGTGGTTGTTGGTCCCCAAACATCTGAGTGAACAAGCTCTAGCTTCTGCTTCCTGGGGGGTCTGCTACTTGCCTGAAAGCTAACTCTCTTCTGCTTTCCAAGTATGCATTCTTCACACACATCAATCTCTACTGATTGTAAACCTGGGAGTTTTCTCTTTGTGTGCATAACCTTCATCCCCTTTTCACTCATATGACCGAGTCTCTGGTGCCACAGCTTTGAAGTCTCATTGCATGCAGCTAACTCTCTTCTGCTTTCCAAGTATGCATTCTTCACACACATCAATCTCTACTGATTGTAAACCTGGGAGTTTTCTCTTTGTGTGCATAACCTTCATCCCCTTTTCACTCATATGACCGAGTCTCTGGTGCCACAGCTTTGATGTCTCATTGCCTGCCGCAACTGAGATCGAACAACGTGCACCTGCTGTCATATACAGTGTACTAGTCTTCCTGTCTCTGGCAATCGTCATTGCGCCCTTCGAAATCCTCCAGTCATCGCCATGGAAAGTCATCGTGTAGCCTTCACTAGCCAGCTGGCTTACTGAGATTAAGTTCCTCTTCAGGTCGGGAATATACCTGACATCCTTCAGCTCCCATACTGACCCATTCAGCTTAATCTTCACTACACCTTTGCCAATAATGGCACATGCTTGATCGTCACCAAGATATACATTTCCAAGGTTTCCGGGGATATACTTCTCGAGGAATTCTTTCTGAGAAGTAGCATGGAATGATGCTCCCGAGTCCAACACCCAAGACTCCTCCTTGCTCTCCAAAGAGCATATCAGCGCATCATCTCCTCCTGAGGTGGAGGCAACATTCACATCTGCATTTGCCTCCCACTCCTCCCGTGCACTCCTGCACTGATTCTTGTAGTGCCCGGTTTTCCCGCACTTCCAACACTCGATAGCCTTCGAACTGTTGGGATTTCTGGATTTGGATCTCCTATCATCTGATCCATTTCCTCTGGTTGAACTTTTACCTCTTGACTCTGTATGCAATACTGAAGAGGTTGTAGCTTCACCCGACTCTCTCCGTCGGATCTCCTCACTGAGAACCAGATCACGAACGTCGTCAAACTTCAACTTATTGCTTCCCGATGAGCTACTCACAGCTGTGACCGTAGCGTTCTAACTCTCTGGTAGGGAAGACAAAAGGATCACCGCTCGAACTTCCTCATCAAACTCAATATCAACTGAACTCAATTGGGTCGTGACTGTATTGAGTTCATTGAGATGATGTGCTACCGATGCACCTTCCGCCATTCGCAGATTAAACAACCGCCTCATCAAATGGACTTTATTTGAGGCTGATGGCTTCTCATACATATTGGAGAGTGCTGCCATAAGATCTGCCGTGGTCTTCTCCTTTGCAATGTTAAAAGCAACATTGCGGGTTAACGTCAAACGAATAACCCCGAGGGCTTTTCTGTCCAGAAGATTCCAATCTTCTTCCTTCATACCCTCCGGCTTCTTCCCCGAGAGAGGTTGATACAGATTTTTTTGATACAGATAATCCTCTATCTGCATTTTCCAGAATCCGAAATCTGATCCATCAAACTTCTCTATTCTCACCTTCCCTTCATCTGCGGCCATGGCTCCCACTTGAATCTGACTTCCTCTAGATCGTTTCACGCTCTGATACCAGTTGTTGGGAATTTAACGCCTAAACTCCTAATGCAACAGAAACGCAGTATAGAAAAAAGTACACCAAGATTTAACGAGGTTCGGCAACTGCCTACGTCCTCGGGAGCCACACAGTAAATTTCTTATTAATCCAACAAGAAATTACAATTTTAGGAGCAGATCCCTAAACTGTGATTTCTCAAATAAACACTGTAGCTACAGTATTAATAATAACAGGGTATGAACCCTTTCAATACCCACTTAAGAATAAATACCCCACAATCAAACTCCTCTTTAATTCTC